CTCACATTGATTTTGGAAAATCTATGAAATTCATAGGTGTCTTTTTTTCTCCTGCCATGCACCTCGTGCTGGTAGCAGCAGCATAGAATGAGATGCTTCGGCGCTTGGCTTAAAATTCACGTCGCAGCACTGCTTGCAAAATAGCTTCATTTTGAAAATCGTAACCATTATATTGAGTATGCCTGATCCTATTATGAACAAGCGCGTTTGATTGATAAAGCCATTGCTGCCTTGGTCTGCCTACACGTCTCTTTCCTATATCAGTGGATCTGAGGATATGCCCCGTCAGCCGGATACGTTTGTCGTCCAACTCTTCGGAAATTGGGCGCACCCTCTTGTCAACAGTATCATAGTACTGGACACTTGTGGCTGCCATAAACTCTTGCATTAGAAAATCGCCTATCAAAATAAGTAGTAGGTAGTTTCAAAATTTTACTTCTCACCTAATTCTTTCTGACCGCATCTCCTCTCCTTTCCTTCTTTCCTTCCTAGTTCCTTCTGTCCTGGTTTCTTAAAAAGGCACCTGGCTCTTGCTTGTGAAGAGGCTGGGCCTAGTCAACCCTCATGCTGTCCTTGCTCTTCTTCATGTTTGTCTCCCCACTTGGCGTCTCTCATCACATAGTACTCTTCATTGCTACGGAGCACGGCAAACTTGAGCATGTATGCATATTCGCTGTAGGAGGGGCACTTGGTCTTGACATTTGCCTCAGCCCATCCTTTGGACCAGTTCTCATTCACAATGTCAAAGTAGTCTCTGTGTATGTGTAGGTACATGTATTTCGCATCCCCTTTGTCCCTGAGCAGCTTGAAGATTACAGCCTTTTCAGCGGTTCTGACTGCCAATTTGTCTTGCCATTTCACAGCAACTCTGTGCCAGGTGCTTGCCAGATCACTGTGCTCATCTTTCGTGACGATGTGAAGCGCTGCGTGGATTGTCAAGTTGATCTCTCTTTCCATCTTGCTGGTCTGCGGCACGAAGTTGATGCCATGCGGCTGGTTGCCATAGTACAGTGTCTTGTTCTTTCTGTCCCAGACTGTGACTGGATTGTGCTTGTTGTATCGTTTGAAAAGTTTGTACATGTATGTTTCAGAAGTGTGTTTTGCCCAACCCGCCTGCCAGTGTATGATTGTGACTGGTGATCGCTTGTAGCGACCGTGCATGTACCTGCCGTGTGATGTGGTGTATTTGCTATCCACTCCAGCCTTCTCCATGTACCAGCTAATTACCTGGTCGCGCTCTTCATCTGTGAAGTCCTGAGGCCATCCTTTTGCTACTGTCTGTCTTGCTGCTTCTCTTTGCTGCTGGTTGTACACTGCATCATGCACATGCTGTGTCAGAATGTCGACATCTGTAATGTTTCTTTGCATTCTTTCTGTGTGCTGCTCCAATTTTCTCACTCTTTCTTGCAGGTCGACAAGTTGCTGCTGCATTTCTTGTATGTAAGGAGGTTGGTCGCTGACCTTCGCCGACTCTTGCATCACTTGCATCTTTGTCATTGTTGCTTTGGCTTCTAGAATCTGTTCCTCTAGCTGCTGGCTCAGCTCTTGTATTTCCTTTCTGCTGCTAGATTGCTTCTTTGCTGTTTGCGGTGTGCTTGCCTGCATAGTTCTCTCCTCTATGGATGCCAATTGCTGTTTCCATCTCGGTTATTTTCCTCTGTTTTGCTCTTTGGTATAGAATGTTCTGTATTCTGCTGGTGCCGATGGGAATAATTCTCTCTTTGCCGTCTCTTCTTTGTCATCTTTGTCTTCTGTATTTTCCTTGGTCTTGGATTGTCGGGTTACTGAGCTCAGAGTAGCTTCTGCTTCCTTTTGTCTTTTCTTTGATTCTACATCGACCTCCATTGCTTCGCCTCCGCACTGGGGCGACTATTTCCTACGAAAGGCCTCAATTCTTTGAGCCCCCTCATAGTAGTCTTAGTAAAGCGATAATACCCCCCATATTTTGATGGTTTACATCACCGGTTTTGGTGAATTTGGGGATGGTGGATCCGTATCATAATTGTCATTGGTGTTACAGTATAGGTCTTGATAGACAAACTCCGTGGCAAAGCTCAGCACCCAACGACAATTTTTGGGCTTCCCACGGTTCCCCCATGATTTTTGAGACAAACCCATTTGCAGTATTTCATATACCCCATGATGTCCCATTGCATCCCAATGTTGTTTATTTTTATATATATATACAGTAAATGATATTATCCGGAAATATACCCCAATGTCAAGTACGGTATAATCAAGTCACATATCATTCATCCTTTCGCCGCAATGTTAAATACCCTCTAGAAATCCTGGTTGAGTATGGGATCGATTTATGTTGGCCCATATGCAGGGTATGATATTACATGGGCATCCATCCATGCATCCATCCACCTTCCCTCTATCATCTATCATCTATCATCTATCTATAGCTATCCCTGTTTTATGGTGGTTAAACTCTTCTTTTGCTGGTTCAAGCCTTATTTTTGAGGATGGGATTGGAGGTATTTTCCTACAGCAACCCAAAAAAGAACAACCAAAACATAAAATCCTAGTCTAATAGTTGAAAGATGCTTCTATCTTTTTTAGATGCCATAGACCCCCGGTTCTCCTGCACTCGACACTGTGGCCACAGTGGATCAAATGCGGCCACCGAAGGAGCCGCTTCACAGCGCCTCGGCCCCCCAGAGTTACCGCACGTTGATTGATTGGCTATGACAAGCTATGACGTTTCCCATTTGATTGTGAACATGATGATTTTCCCTAGGAATTTTCGAAATTTGGGAAATCGTTCCTTTTGAACATGATCTTTATTATGGGTATGGGGGTACCCAGTGAAAGCAACAAGCCAGGAGAACAACAATGGCTACAGAATGGCCATAAATTGGGGTGTCCCATATTTGGGTGGATAAACCCACTTGAATGGTGCACAACAAAGCTGTTAAAAAAATGAGAAATTGGACTCCATCTGTATGGGTCGAGTCATTTGGGTACCTGGATTGACAAAATTTGGTACTGTAGCTTGTGTATTGAATTTATGAAGTCATTCATTTTGGGTGGGTGAAAATCCTGACCCGTTCGCCCATGTCTTGCGGGCGAATTCCCTCTAGTCCAGCATAATTGGTATGTTTCGGCTTCAGTAACGGTTGCTGCAAGGGGTCTTAAAAAGTGGCGTAAATAAAGAGGGAGGGATGCCACCAGGGACCCATTTTTACAGTGTTTTGTGATTGCCTCCGAACATTTCTTGTTGGTCCAACAACTTGGAAAGAAGCAGCTCCCCATCAGACTCTTCAGGTGTGATCTGCTTTCCCAAAGATTCCCAAAGCATGAGCTCACGATTACATCATTCAAAGGAGGACTACCTTTTTACCTTAAGGATTCAAACCCGTTTTGGCGATAGCAAAAGATTTTTTTGGGCAGCAACCAAACATTCTCCTTTTTTGATGCGACGTATCCACCTGCACTGCCATAGACATCTCGCAGCGAACCTCTTGCAGCGGCAGCACCCAAGTTCCACACCAGCGGCACCCGGCACTCTGACAGCAGCGCCATGCAGAGGTACCCTGCAGTGGCACCCTGCAGCGGCACCCTGCAGCGGCACCAGCATACAGGCTCCAAAGCGCACACAGCACTCTGCACTCTGACAGCAGCACTTGCAGCGGCCCCTCCAACGGCACCAGCACCCAAGGTCCACACCAGCAGCAGCTCACTCTGACAGCAGCACTTGCAGCGGCCCCTCCAACGGCACCAGCACCCAAGGTCCACACCAGCAGCACCTCACTCTGACAGCAGCACTTGCAGCGGCCCCTCCAACGGCACCAGCACCCAAGGTCCACACCAGCAGCACCGCACTCTGACAGCAGCACTTGCAGCGGCCCCTCCAACGGCACCAGCACCCAAGGTCCACACCAGCAGCACCGCACTCTGACAGAAGCATGCCCTCCAACGGCACCAGCAACCAAGCTCCAAAGCGCAAACAGTACTCTTGCAGCGGCACCTTGCAGCAACCAAGCTCCAAAGCGCAAACAGCACTCTGACAGCAGCACCTTGCAGCGGCACCCTGCAACGGCACCAGCAAACCAGCTCCAAAACGCATAACATGCAACTCTGCCTTTTCTTGAAGTAAGAACCCCAATAGCTTCGCTATCTGGGGAAAAAGGGATCACCAAGATCCTGTGGTTTAGGATCGCATTCATCTTGGCAATTTCAGGCTACATCTCATTTCTGGACAAAGCCATGTCAAACCTGCTGAAATCTGATAAGATTACGAAGGGAGAAATTGCGCAGCTTGTCCTGTCATCCTACCAATAAATAAACCTCTGGTTTGTGGGAGCCCAAAATGAATATGTAGATCCAACATCAATTTCAGGGTTTTCTGTTGTGTTGATTTCACGGCTGGATATAATCATGGGGTTTTGCAATGGACAATGTCGCAGTTGGAGAAATCTAAAGACAAATCTAGCCCTATTTTTGATGGCAAAAGTCATCAAATGAGAATTTATCCGCAACGAAGGAGGATTTCTCCGCAATAAATTGGTTATATATATATATAGATATATATATATATATAGATATATATTTACCCAGAACAAATTGGTATGTACCATTATGTACCCACAATTAACGTGCGAATTCATCCACTTCAGTCACCTTTTACGACCGTTTGCACGAGAATATTTGACGATATTTGACGGACATGTTGTCGTCTTGTTCGAGCTGAAGATTTTTTGAGGCCACCAAAGAGCTGCAATTAGGCCACAGGCCAAACTCGGTGGTTCCTCCACTTCATTCAACGAACTGAACCGACGGCCGAACGCGCAAAAATGGTGGTTTAGAGAAGCTTGACTTGCTTCCCATTGGTGCTAGTGATATAACACAGAGCTGAGTATTTTTCCATTGCTCTGCGGTTCTGTGCGGTGCCTTAAGCATCCCAGAAACCAACAGAGGCAATTTCATGGGATGGGTCAACCAATCTCAGGGAGTTTAATTTCGATCCATAGTCCAAACAAAAAAAACGTTCCGCCAACCATCCCTGCGAGGCCCATTTTGTGCACACCTTGCTACAAAGAAAGAATGAAAACAGTAAACAGCATTCAATGAAAATCCATGCATTGATGTGTACATTTCTATAGGAAACCCGATGCCTGAAAGATCAGAGATCCATACAGATCCGGCTTGGAAGCTCAAAACCGCCAAAAACGTGTACCTCGTGGAACTGAAAAACACAACTCGCAACAACGCAGTTGAGCGAGTTGTATGTGAGGTCCCACTGCGGAGCCACGGCACCGCCATCTGGATCCACCAAGACGTAAACTGTGTATGTGTATGTGATAACTATGGCTATGCTAACGTTTGTCTCTCGAAGCAGAAAGTAGATCACTAGATAGAAAAGTGTTCATTCCACACATTGCCCTGATCGTGCTCGTTGCAGTCTTTGCGCTCACTGCATTCATTGCACTTAGGGCACTCGTTGCACTCCTGGGATCTGCTTTTGGGTCCCCCAATCAGAAGCTGAAATGTATGGAGGTTCCAGTCCATGGGGGTACCCCTACATCATCCCAAACTAGACCATGACTTAGTATTGAAACCCATGGTGACTTGGGGATCCCCCATGACTTAAGAAACCCGCAGTCTTTGCTCCAAACTTGACACATCATAGTTCAAAAACTCTCAACGAAGGTCACGAAGATGTTTCAGGGTTTGAGGATTTTAGGCTTTGTGGTTTTTGAGGTATAGGTTTCTGGACTAGTATACAAATAATATATACTCATACGATGCATGGTCCCGGTGGAGCCCCTAACAAAGGATGGCTTACTGACTTCCGGGAAACGATCGGTTCGAGAGAAAATTCACACGAAACCTCCATGGTTGATGGGGGGGATGGTCATGGTTTCCACTTTCCAAAGATGATTCTCCCTTAAACCAAGGGAAAAAGTCATCAACAACTCCAATCGATTTAGAAACTGAAAAGTCTTTATATAGAATCCCCACGAACCCTTTTTTTTTTAGGAAAAATCACCAGCAGAAACTCAGTGACCTCAGGTCCGTCCTTGCAACTCTCGAGGGACTCCAGGTCAGCGGATGCGGAGCGCCCCAGCCCCGCGGGTGGTGCGAAGACGTCCACTGATCTGTGGGACCAAAGGCCGCAGAGAATGAAGAGCCAAATGGTGAAGGGGATCGCCGGAAGCATGCTATCCTGAAGGCTGGAGCTTGGCTAAAGATGTATAAGCCTGTGTGCCATGTGGTTGAGTTACATGGGATTTTCCTAGGGTCCTAGGACTTTTTTGTGACTTATGATGACTTATGGTCATCCACGATATGTGTTTTTCAATCCCAATGATGACCATCCCCCAATATGGCTACACGCCTTTGCGAGCGAGCGGCGTCTTCTGACGCGTGCATGCAAATGTCACTTGAGAATAGGATCAACGTCAACACGGAGCCGGCGGGCATCGTCAAAAGACACGCCATGAGGACCGGGTACTTGCTACAGCAATGTGGCATGTAGCGTACGGCCAGCAACCAGATCCGCATGGCGGTGCGAATCCAGAAGAGGGCTAAAATGACATCCATGCTCCAGTCCATCAGCAACCTCAAGGCCCAAATGACCTGTGATGCCGCGATGCCATGCTGTTGAGGTCAGGGAGTCTCCATCGACAAAATGTGGGATGATGTAGTGACAGGCATAGGTATGAAGGAAAATGAAGGATCTTCGAGTTCCGTTTAAGATTTCAACAAAAAAACGCCTTGCTTTTGGCGGACTGAAGCAGTTACCAATGGTACAACTACCCAGTCGTGAGAGGTGAGCCAGCACCTGTTGCGAGACATTCGCGAGCTCCGGCTGTCCAGCCATTATTTTAGGAATCAAAGACGTGAGCACAGGCAAAACTCCAGGAATCAGCATGTAGAAGCCTTGTTCAAGCCAAATCCGATGGAGAACATATGTCAAGATATGGCTTGATGGTTCCGAATTGGTATCCCAAAAGTTTCATGGTTGATCATCAATGACTTCATTTTTGCCATGTTCACAACAGCCATAACTTGGGAGAAAATTCATGCACGATCCCGTCGGAGGCCCAAAAATCCGCGCATTCTTCAGGGCCCAACCTGGGAGATTTCATTGATTTCTTAGTGTTGTACCATCCATCTTCATTCCTGTCATAAAGAAAAGAGCAACAAAAAACTTGAGTTAAGCCTTTTTGGTGCTTTCCTAGTCATCTCGGTCACCTGCAATGTCTGCATGGAACTGGCTGAGTTTCGCTGGATGGAGTGCTGAAATATCCCAGTTCACAGGACCTCCTGGGCTATAATTTTGACCATCGTTGATGGGGTTTGGTCGGCCAGTGCATGACAAATGCAGAGGATCTCCTGCATCATATCCGATTTTTATTCTAAATGGGGTAATCAATTCCATCCACAGCCATAACAGAATAAGTGGGGTGAACATCAGTTTGATTCCATACAGTTTTGTGAAGCATCAGTTTTCATCAAAACAGCCATAACTGTGGGCTATATCTCACGCAGAGCCGCTGTAGTTGAACGGCAGCATGTCATTTCCCATACTGCGCAGAACTTTCGGAGCAAGCTCTTCCTTGTGACTTGGCGAGGGTTTCAAGGGGCATTGAAGGAACTGGTGTGTTCCTCCATTTAAAAAACGATATACTCTACTGTATCCGATAATCGCCAAAAAATTGGCATGTTTTTGATTGGCCTGCAAAGCCCTAAACATGTATATATATATATATAAGTATATATATTATATTATATATTATATATATATATTATATTATATATATATATTGTATACATATATATATATTACATTATATTATATATATTATATATATAATATATATTATATATTATATATTATATATTATATATTATATATTATATATTATATATATTATATATATATGTGAATCGGAGATTATCTCCCCGATTATGTTCTGGTACTTGATTCTGAAATGGGTGTTTCAGTGGTGACGTCACACGGGTAGCGGCTTCGGCATTGCGATTCTTTGTTCCGGTTCCTGCAGTAGTCTTGAGCCAAAAGGGCGAGTTGACGTACCCTTTGGCTGTGGATCCTTGAGGGCTGAATTATGTTGGAGTGTACAGTGTTCCGTAGCCTACACTCTATTCGCACCCCCCACGCATGGCCAACTCTGTCGGCCACGCGCAAAGGAGTGTCCCTTGAATTGATCCACTACATCTGCAGCTGTTCATTTATTGAATTATGGAGAGCTAAAGTCCGTTCAGAACTTCATATCTACATGGCGGCTTGCTACAATCTCTACCAAAAAAAATGAAGGTTCTGTTCACGTGCATGTAGACACGACGTAGTCGGTGTCTAGCATTGAGGTTCGTCCAATGTGGCGTAGCCAGCATGGAGTCTCACTCAAGCATGTGAATTAAAGAAATCAAAACACAAAGTTGACTATGGAACTAGAAGTTTACCTTCCCGTCCCTTCGTCGGTTGAGACGTAGACCGCTGTAGAAACTCAGCGTTTCATGCAATGTTGTTCAAAAAAAGTGTGTGGTTCTAAATTAGCCGGCTCAGAGTCCTCTCAGAATTCATTCAAAATGAAGTAGAGGTAAATCTCGAGCAACGATTGCATCCTCGCATCGCCAGGTTCAATCGGGACCTATGCAGAGGTCAGATCGCTTAATCATCTATTTCCCCATCCATAGTATCCCTGATGGTTCCAGTCTCCGCCACGGTGTGAATAAGATTTTCCACCTTTTCCTTGATCTTTTCCACCCTTCTTTGGCGGGGTCACCGGAGCTTGTTTTGGCGGAGGAGCGGTTTCAACTGTTCTCCATGTCGCTGACGATGATGCTTTCGCTTTCGACACTCTTCCCAGTGCTGGTGCAGCTTTCGGGGCTGCTTTCGATTTGCCAGCGGCTGGATTGGCACGTTCACGATCAGCAGGAGTCGGGGTATCAGCAATCGCAAGTATGTGAGCTTCAGACAAGTGGATGCCCCACCTTGGTCGTTGATCTTCCCGTTGCTTGATGTGATTGTAGTCATCGATCGCATCATATAGCTTTTGGAGTAGAGGTCGCGGCAATTGTCGGCCATTCTGAAGGATCAGGTGTAAAAGTGATATTCTTCGAAGTGGTGGACGAAGAGCACACACAATGTCAACTGGATTCAGTGTGATTGTGTCTTGAAAGTCAACGTTCCTGAAGAAATAAACAGCATTTACCCTATATGCACCTGCAATGATTCTTCTGACCATGACGTCTTGTCGGTCAAGGGCGTCGCGGGCCGCTGTGGTCTTCCTCATCTCATCCATTGTGGTGTCACGTTTCGACAGCTTCTCCATCTCCTCATCAAAGAATATGTTTTGCAAGTCATCATACGTGTAGCCACATTCAAGGGTATATATGAGAAGTCTTTTGAGTACCACTGCCCCATAGTATGCATTGACGAATCCCTCTTCTCCGATGTCGTCCTTTTGATTTGGTCGGCCGATCTCTTTGTAGAGCTCTTTCATCTGTTGTGCAGTTGGTTCAATGAGTTCACCATTTTCATCCTCGCCCAGGTAAGGTGTCCTTGAGTCCAGGTCCATCCTGAATTTCTGGTTCTGTTGAAAATGTTTCCATGCCGTCTCGATGTCTCCACAGAAGTTCCGTTGGAATAGTCTGTAGATCCTGACGATATGTAATCCAATCTGCAACAGGAGGATCTTGATGAATTCTGGCTGAGCATCTCCAATTGTGCAAGGTTCGATCGGCAGGACCTTTGATCCAAACTCAATCCGCTGCATCCACTTGGGGTACTCAATCACTGCATCACGAGCTTCTCCAGCCTCGTACTCTTCAATGTTGATTTCATCGACCGCTTTCTCTTCATCATCATTCTCATCGGTCGGTTTTCCTTCTTGATTGAGAAATTTGTCGACCTCATCTTCTTCTCTGAAGTCTCTTTTCTCATCATTGATGTCGCCCTTCTTCGAGGCTTGATCATCATCTCCTTCTTCTGGTTGAGTTTCTTGTTCTGGACTCTTCATGGTGACATCATCATCATCTGGCATCACCTCGTCGTCATCATCATCACCTGTCAAATCGATCTTCACCTCCTCCCATGCTTTCTTGACATGGTCTTTGAGATCTTCTTCTCGATGATGTGATTCGGCCTTTGGTACTGTAGCCACGGTGATCTTGATTCGTTTCCTCCATCCATGACTCACCAAAAATCCTTTGCACATCACACAAATCGATAATGGCGCAGGGGTCTCCATCAGACATGCGGGGCATAGTCGATGGTCCTCTTTGCTAGGATGATGAGTGACTGCCAATAATGAAATTGCATCATTCCAATCCGGATGTCCAGGGAACAGTCTATGAGTATGACTGAAGTGACCGGTCCTGATATCGACAAGTTTTCGAAGTTCGTCTAGATCGGGTGATGATTCTTCAGGCACAATGTTTCCAATGAGCTTGTCAAATCGTTCAATGGTGGCCACCCTCTTCGCGCCTTGCACAGAAAGAACAAGTTGATCTCTTCCCTTCGTGATCATGAGACGGTAGTAGTCCTTTTCTCTCCAGTCGTAATACCAAACCGCATCGAATGATTCGAATGGAATTGCTTCTTGGACCAAAATGTGTCCGTCTGCTGATAATCGAGGGGAGAACTTGGCGATGGAATCATACGTGATGTAGATGTAGACAAGATCAGTTTGATCAATCTTCCTGAATCTCAGCACCATTTGACTTCTCACATCGCACGGCGCGAACGGCACGAAGAACGTATTGATGCGGTCGCCTCCTCCTCCTGGACGTAGTCCTTCTCTGAAGATTTGAGCGATGTTGTCAAATGTGGTGCAATGAAATCCTCCTCCAAGAGTGTATCCTACTCCAGGGTTCATCTGATATGAAGTCTTCTTGTCTTCAATGTGCACACCGCCTTGAACTCTTGAATGCGCCATAGGGGCACGGATTGCCACCGGCCAAAGCCAAATCTCTCGATCTGCTGTGCCGATCTCCAACCTCAGTGTTTGTCGATCAAGTCTAGAGGTCAATCCATCATTGAAGTTGTTCATGATGTGTTCCAACTCACCTTTCGTGACCTTGAGTCCTAGCACTTGTGCTCGGATTCTCTTCGTTTGCTTGTACTCAGTGAAGATCACTCTCTGGAAGTTGTTCCATCTCTCAACAAGTATCGGGTAGTTGACGTAGGCCGTTCCAGCCAAAGTATGTTGGTCTTTCCAAATGGCATCGTACTTCAAGATCGACTCAACATTGACCCAACCTGCCTCGTCGCATGGTAGTCCACGGTGATTTCGATTGTCTCTGACGCAACCCACGGAGTGGCGTAGCGCTGCATTGAATCTTTTTTGACAATTCAACTATCCATGGCGGATTTTCCCACTTGTTGCCCATCCACTCATTCTCGCCATATCGATGCACCTTGCACCAGCCCATTCCAAGATATTCTTCTCCGTTGATGCGGGCAAGTTGAAGTTTACCGATGTTGTGGCCGTGTGTGAATGGTTGGATGTACTTGAAATTCCAGTTGTTTCCATGTTGTTTTCTTTCTTCAGTAAGCCATTTTACATAAGCATCATGATCAAGGGGGTTCCAAGCGTTCAGCTCTTCAATGGTCGGCAAAACAGGCGGAGATTCCTCAGCCGCACGCTCAATCAGCAAGTCAAGCTCATGACGATTCTTCACACCTCGGCTAATTGGGTTGACTTCGACACCATTCACTAAGTATTGTCCTCCTTCTTCACGATCACCGATGTCGTACATAAAGGCTGACTGACTGTAGAAGCACTTGGTCACTTCCTCTTTCTCAGTGAATCTGGTTCTTCCCCAACGCTTTCCTCGTGGCATGACGTTCTTTGGGAGCTTGTCTTTTCTGCCTCTGGTTGCAGCTTTGGATCTTTCGGATGATGATGGGGATTTGGACTTCTGATCCATGATCAACCTCATGCGCCATATGGTGTCCTTCATGTTCTCATCATCTGGTGTAGTACATTCGTCAATGCCATGCCTTCCACCACAAATGAAACAATATTGAACATCCAATGCATCTGAAATCAGCTTCTCAAAACGATCACGGATGTCACGCACCTCGGTTCGGCGCTTCTTCGCTTCTGAAGGTTGTCCCCCCATGCCATCTTCCTCCTCCTCAATCTCGATGTCACCAGCTCCGGCATCGGTTTCTCCTGAAGTTTGTTCTGCTCGAGGGCCCCGCGCCGTAGGCGTCGTGGTCTCCTCATCAGGTTCATCAACTTCATCCACCTCTTCATCGCTTGATGAGACCTCAATCATTTCAGGGTGGTCATCGTAGTTGGCTTCTGGGAGCACCGGCATTCTGGTGATCTTCTTCTGCATGAGTAGGTCAAAAATTCCTGCTTCTTTCAAGATTGTAATCACCATGTCATTCTCGACCGGCGGGATGTATGCTTTCCTGGATCGGTTTCGCTTTGTGTTGATGGTGTCGGTAGGTCGACATGAACTGCTGAATAGCCAAAACGACTCTTCCAGTCCTGCGAGGCAACTGTCAAGGTTTGCCCCCCATCCAGCGAACATAGTAGGGAATTGAATACCCAGATCAAGCATTCCAAGCCAGAATTCGAAAA